ACACACACACCGAGTCAGACTGAGAACACACACACACACACACCGAGTCAGACTGAGAACACACACACACACCCAGGTGGAGGTAAGCTGACCTCTGACCTCTGCCCCCAGGGGTCCTCGGCCCCGCAGCATCACTCTGGAGAAAGGCTGTGAGGGTCTGGGCTTCAGCATCGTTGGCGGCTTCGGCAGTCCGCATGGAGACCTTCCCATCTACGTCAAGACTGTCTTCAGTAAGGTCAGAACCGGCCGGTCCGTGGGTCGCCTCAGAACCTCTGCCTCTGTCCGTCCTGACCGTCCTGTGTCTCCGTGTCTCAGGGCGCGGCGGCGGTGGACGGGCGTCTGAAGCGTGGCGATCAGATTCTGTCGGTGAACGGTGAGAGTCTGCAGGCGGTGACCCATGAGCAAGCAGTGACCATCCTGAAGAAGCAGAGAGGGACGGTCACTCTGGACGTCCTGTCCTAACCTGGACGTCCCCATGTCTCCGCCGTCATTCGGGTCAACAGCGGCTCTGCTTCTGCAGGCCGTCGTCTTCACTTCCTGCTCCGCCCATCAGGCGCCTCGCCAGCTGCTGCATGCGCAGCTTCCTTTGCAGCTTCTCAGTGGATCAACTTCCTGTCTGGTTCTGGAATCGGAGTGCCGCCTGGCGCCGCCCACTGCAGGAGCAGCAGTCTGCCGCCTGGTGGTCGGAGTGGGGACTGCAGCCTGTCCTCCTGCAGGTTCGCTTCGTTTCCACCGGAACGCTCGGATCGGACCCGGGTCACCCGGTCCGATCATCAGAACGGACCAACCATGTCTCCATGGAGACGCCTCTCATTCCTCGGGTCGAACCTTTCTCCTGACAGGTTCTGGTTCTGTCCGGATCATTCCCGGCATGTTTCAGACTTCCCCAGTGTTCCCAGTGTTCCCAGTGTCAATGCATGCAGCAGCGTGATGCTAGCACCACAGCTTAGCACGGAGCCGTCTGATTGGTCGGCAACCATGATGTCACACCAGGCCACAGAAAAGCCTCAAAAGTTCTGAAAAGCCAAGAAAAAGTTGGTTTGGGTTCTGGTTCCTGTCCCGGTTCTGGTTCTGGTTCTGCGGGTCCAGCTGGCTTCCTGCCGTCAGGCGACCCAAATGTTTCGGTTCTGGTTCTGTTCCGGGTCCAAAGTGCCATTCATCAATTTGTTACTTTGTTTTATGCAGTTGATACATTTCTATGATTTCTCTGAGCGTTATTGTTTGTCCGTCTCCATGGAGACGGCTCTCAGGATGTAGTTGGCATGGTGCTCGTTGCCTTGACAACAGATGCAGTGTCTTCCACGTCCATATTAAAGCTGCAGACTGACGTTCCTCATGATCCCGAAATAAACTTCCAAACCCAGAGAAGCGGATCTACCGGATCTGGAGAAACTCGGCTGCTCTAAACTCCCTGAAGGTTTTCCTGGATTTCAACTTCCCAGAAAACCAGCCCAGTTTTCCAGTAAACATTCAGGTGTAGTTGGGACATTCCCGGCCGTTTTTCCTGCTGAGCAGAGATGGGATGGTGGCCAAACGTTCCAGAGCAGCTTGAAGTTTTCCTCTGAGAAACTGAACCTGCTGAACCGCCTGCAGCCTTTATTTGATGCTGCTGAACTTTTCCTCGTCTTGCTCCTGAATCGGCTCCTGGTAAAATCATCTCCACATTTTAAACCTTCTTCAGGCTTTAGAAATGTTTTTATCTTCACTTTGATGTCATGACTGCAGCTTCATGCGACACGATTGGAGTTTAAAGCTGAACTTCTGTCAGCTGCTTTAAAACCTGGGTGTTTTGTTCATCTGATCTGTGCTAACGTGTTAGCTTTGTCCGTAATGAACAAAACTAAGCCAGGGCAGATTGAGCAAGATGTCATTAGCTCAGTTAGCTTGGCTAGCTCAGTTAGCTCTTGGTTGAACAAATATGCTCAATTTTATAGTTTAGCATAATTTCATCTCCACTCAAACTCAATCTGTGAGGTAAAAGTTTCTAATTTAATGTTCACAAAACATTTAAAGAGCAATGTTTAATATTTCACAAGATTGAAATTTAGCTTCGTAGCTAAACTGGCCAATCTTTTACATTTTACTGTTATCAGTCTGAAACACTGAAATTTTAATTCTGAATATAGAATTGCTTAGGAAGATTTATTAAAATGTTTATAATTCCTTAGAAGCTAAAGCTAACTTGTTGTTAGCATAGCAGTAGAGAGCGGCTAAAGGGAAAACAGTCTGCAGACATCAACATATCAAGTCATGTGCACAAATATTCTGTCTTAATTTATTTGTTGATTCCACTGGAAATGATCAGATTTGTGTGTTTTTGTTGCCACTTTGTGCCATCAGAACCTGAAACGGGTCGGTTTTAGTTCCATGTCATGTTGTCAAAGGATTCTGGAAAATGTTTTTGATTTATGGTGAGATTTAAATGATTAGTTGAAAAACGAGTAAAGATGAATAAAGTGAGACTTTCTCTGTTTATCGGGAGCAAACATGAACTTTAAACTGCTTCACTTTGCATTAAATTAATTCTGTCATTTGATTAAATCTTAAACTTTCTGCTCAAACTAATATTTCAAACAAAATATTTTGATGTGGAATTATTTTATATTTAGGATTAGAGAAACATTTTAACCTGCAGCAGCTCAGAAACAACAGTAAGCTAACTGGTTCTGACCAGTAAATCTGGTGTTGGACCAGAACCGCTACACTTGGTCGTTTTACTCTTCATCGCTTCACTTGATATTTTTATCAATATTCTGTTTCTGTTTGTTCTTGATTGCAATTTTGAGATGAATTTAAAATATTTATTTTTCTTTTAATCTCCTGAAAGGAAGTGAAACTGAATTCAGATGAAAGTCCTGCAGATTTTATAGTTGGTGATAAAAATGATATTTAAAGGTTTACAAGGAAACATGACCTTGATTAATCATTCATGTTCAGTTGCTGACTCAGGTCTGGACTTTGACTGGGACGTTTTATCTCTGCTGTACAGGACTTGCGGTGCTGGATGCTGTGACGTTCAGGAAGACGCCGGGAGTCGGATCAGAACAATTTATTACAAACGTTTATCAGGTTCACACAGAACAGAAACATTTCACCATGTTTTCACTGAACGGTGAATCATTAACAGTTCAGATAACTGATTGATCTGGACAGGAAGGATCAGCTGCAGGGATCTGGTTGCTATGGGTTACTGGTCTCTTGGCCAGGATCACGTGATTGAACTCTGATTTAAGGAAGGCTGGAGCCAACGGGACGCCTGCTGGCCGTTCACATGGCCGTTGATTTCTCCTCGGCGGTGATGACGTTGTCGTAGACGTTGCTGCCATCTCTGGCCCTGCAGCACAAACACAGTCAGCTTCAAAGCTCCAGATTTCTGAGTAACGAGCAGCCGAGGCTTCACATGTAAAACACACTGGTTAGAAAAATGGGATTTTCAGCTGCTTCCATTCACTCCTGCCATGTTTTAAGTTGCTAATGCTAATAACTCAGCCTGGTTTTCTCCAGGGGAGGAATGCTGGTCAGAACTGGAGCAGGAGATCCGGTCATCTCCTCAGAGAGCTTTTAAACCTCTGGACAGGTTCCGGTCTGCTGGGTCTCCAACATTTGAATCAATTACCAAATGAATCTTCCCTCTCTGGACTCTGACTAGAGTTGGAGTCATTTTGTTTTTTAGTTCTTCTGATGAAGTTCTGATCCCAGAGTTCTGCTGCGGTTCTGACCGTTCTCCAGGTCTCTAGTCTCTACGAGTCGCCGAGTCGTGCAGGTTGCTGCGACTCGTCTCTGGTTCCTACCTGGCGAGGTCCAGCCGCGTCTCGTACTTCCCCTTCTCCGACTCCAGGCTGCTCCTCGGCCTGCAAACAGAACCGGGTCGGATCAGTCCAACATGAAACATCTGGACGGGACCAGATCGGGTCGGTTCACTTGGACCAGGATGGAGGCTGAAGGTGGCGCTACTAACCACCAACCAGAGGAACTTAGGCAGATATTCAGCTTTCCTTTCATATTTCTGATATTTTAGTAGGAAAAATATTTCTCTAAATTCCTTTAATGAATAAAGTTATAAACTTATCAGCTCAATAA